TGTTTTTTTGGTAAAAAGGGGGGGGGGGGGGGGGGAGTTTATATTAAAAAAAATTTTTTGCTTCAGGTCATTAATTGTCATGAAAATCATGTCACAATGCAACACAGACTTAATTTTCTTTAAGTAAACTATAATTGAAATGTTCCTGATAGATATTTCCAAACTGTAAATGTACTAAATACTGCAATCCTGTAAAGGGTCCAAATTACCCTCAGGTGATACTACAGTACAACAGCTAGCAAAAGCAATGAGTGTGACTCAGTGCACAATGTTCCAAAATATAGTTGCATCCTGGAGTCTCTTACACACAATAAGTGGTTTAAATGGTTTTCTCAATTACAATAAGTAGTTTAAATTAATGTCATCTCTACTGTGAAGATCTCAAGCGTGTTGAGATGGGCTCTGAGGAGCATGATAAATTGTTGTCCTCTGAAGAGCGCTTCAAGTTCAACAAAGCAAAACTCGGCATCTGCTGCCATTTATGTATATAGAATCTCAGAACGCCAGAATCAGCTTCTTGGCGTTTGGGGGCAGGAGACCTCTGTTGAGAGCTGGAAGTCATACCATTGAACATCTCTGAGGCCATTTTTTATCCATCCCATTTTCTCAAGGATTCACTCTCACTGTATGTTTAAGAAAATAAGCTTCCTCAGCATAAAATAGACTATTTGATGTGCAAAACAAATTTAAGTGGGTAATTTACACAAAGAGTATCTGCTTTTAAGTAGCACTAACACCCTTGTTTTAAAACTTTGGTTTCTAGCATATTTTTTAGCTGATCTCTCCACTGTTGCAGCCAAATTATTGGTGGCTTTTTTGGCAAAGGATGATGTGAGATGACTCCAAGATCCAATTGGCTTAAATGTGGATAGAAATTTGTGATACTTACAAACCTCAGGTCACAGAATAAGCCACCTGCCAAGAGAGTGTGTGGATGTGTATCGAGTGCCTTGAAAAACAGTGTGACTGTTATGGTTATATTTCTTGCATTACTAGATATTATAAGCTAGCTAGTAATAATTATCCAAAATAAACTGTGCAGCATAGCTAAACTCATGCACAGTTTCCATGACATTATTTAAAGCTTGCATAATTGATAAATCACACTACTGTTCATTAGGTTCATTCTTTTCTGCTGCTTTGCAAACATCAAGGCTGATTAACTAGCACTTCCACCATCTCAAGGTATGACTTTAGTGCACAATCATTAGTTCCTGAAGTAGCTCCACTTGAAGACGTAAGATAAGTTCTTAGAACACAGAAGTGGTGTTATTATATAAGTTTATATGCGCCTCATACTATCACAGTTATCATTGTACTTTTATATCCTGTTTTGTCTTGCAATGTACTGTTTATTGTAATCACTGTCTTTATCAGTCTTACACAGAAAAATGCCATTTCAAAGGACAAAAGTAGTTTGACTAGACAATTCAGCTCAATTATCCAAGTAGACAAGCTATTTTTTCACACCACAAGGGGGGGCAATTTCTCCTGAATGTCCTAAAAAATCAAGGGAACCTTGTATGAGATTAAGACAGCAATGTCTATAGTACATGACTGTGGAGAATGTATATCTGATGACAATCTTGTGGAATGAAAGATAATTCATCCTCGCACCCTCTTCATACTCCCTAATGCTGCCGACACCAATCTAAAATTGAAGATTGAACCATTAATATTCCCCATTAAAACTGAATAAGGGTTAGCAGTTGAGATTTAAAAAATGTTTCTGGTTTAATAACCTAAATGTGAATCCAGATTGTCAAGATTATGTAATATCCATGAAGGATTAAAACAAATTAAGGCCATTGTGACAAACCAAGCAAGAATCATGAACACAATTGTCTGTTAAGTTGAAAACATTGATTTTCATCTATATATGAAAAAAGTGGTTTCGCCATTGATTACATCTTGTTTATGCTTCTCTACATTTATTAAGATTTCAAAAATAGCAAAAGTCTCTTTCACATACATTGAGCCAAACAATGTTCCATGGACTAAATACAAATCTATGTGCACTGAATCAATGAAAATTAGTGATATGATGATGAGGACAGCCACTAAAGAATGAATAATTTCATGCATTTTGTATGAAAATCTCAAAATTACATCAAACTACCAAATTGTCCACTCTGAAAACTTGATACACTGGATTGCATTGGATTTCTCAGAAGTAGTATCATGGCATTTTGCAAAAAAAATAAAAAAATCATTGTGATGTAACTTGTTACAACTTATTTGTAAATCATAACCACCCAAAGCAAGCAGACTGAAGTGCATGAGTTTACTTTAGATTAGCTTTTTTACCCAGATACAGCACCAATGCATTATGCATTCTAAAAGCAAACCAAACACAAGCTTAAATCCCAAAAACTCTATGGCAGACAAGACTTTACACTGAGAAACAACCTGAGAAATAGTCTGACTGTGACATTCACAATTTTATTGCACGGCTGTTATTATACATGACAGCATTTCAGTCCCAAATTAAAGATTTCTTGAGAATAGTCTGGGTTCTTTGACCGACAAAATATTCACATTCACGGTTGTCAAAGCAATGACCAGCATACAGAATTTCTTTGTCAATAGTGTGTTGCTCTGCTCTAATATATAAATAATGAACATTACTATCTCAATGCAATCAAGGTGAAGTTGAGATCTCTTTACAGCTAAGTGTTTTGGTACTTGTGCTGTTCCGAAAATCATAGGGTTACTGCGAGGGAGTCTCCGAAGTAAAAAAGAAGTTCATAGTGCAAATGTCAATCACATTAAGGCAAGAATATAAATGTAGAAAAATAGTTGTGCGTGCACATGATTACCTTTGTTACAAAAAAGTTATGAAGGTTTTGTCCTCAATGAGAGAGTGCGACATGTTTTTCAGCTCCTCTGGGGAGTTGACAGCTTTGTAGCCGAGCTCGTCTAAAATGTGCTGACAAACAGTTTGTGTGTAATCAACTATGTCATGAGACAATTTCAACCTCCAGCTCTCTGCATTGGCCGCCGAGTCCCTCAATGTGCCGTACTTATGCTTTGCTGACACGTCGTTATTGCCTCTTGTGTTGTTATGTATCCAGTCCACCACACTTTTTTCCAAAGAAAGACCAAGGAATTCATAAACCTCCTTGGTTTTTTGGAGTGGATTCCTGGCCAGGTCCTCGTATCTCACCAGCATGTACCGTCCACGAAGCCATGGTGGTCTGCTTAAGCCGGTGGACACCGAGTTCAGAAAGTCGTCGCACACTGTCGTAAGCTGAGTCAAATCCAAGTTGTATGGCTTACGGCCTGTGGCTCTCCAGATCCGCCATAGGCGGTATGTGTCCCGAAAAGTTTCAATCCTAGAAGATAATATCCCACGCGGGTCCCTCACCAGCTGGATAACTTTCAGATTAAGCCGAGGGTCCTCGATCAGTGCCTTGAGATCATTGACCTCTGGAATGCGCACTGTTTTAATGGCCATGTGGCGTCTTTCCCGACATGATTCTGTAGCGAGGGTCAAGTTAAGGGAGGCACACTTTCGAACACAATCCCCCTCTTCTATATTGCCATCACTGGGGCTGAAAGCATCACAGACCGGCATGGAGCAGAGGGCTTTGCTGGCTCCTCGTCGAAACAGTTTATCCGTGGTATGGTTTGCCGGCTGTGGCTTGATGTAACTCTCTAAGAAATACAAGTCGCAGTTGTACAAGCTTCTAAGAAGGTCACGACTGGCTCCCAGCATCACTCTGCGCTCAACAGCATATCTGCTGGGAGAAAGGTGAGGGATTAAGGTCGTTTGGACATGATAGAGTGGTTCAAAGAGATAGAACACATCTGAGTGCTGGTTGAACAACTGTCCAACAAAAGAGGAGCCGCTACGGGTGGTCGCCAAGATGAGGATGTGAGTCTTCCTGGAGGAATTGTAATTAAAATACGGGTACTCATCACACATCCGATCGAAGGACTCCACATCCTGTCCCAAGCCACAGTTCAAAGGGTTAGGAACAGGGCACATATGAAAAGGCTTAGCTGTGAAAGTCCTGATTGCTGTGTATTGGATCGCTATGGACACCAGCGCAAGCAGAATCACAGCCTTCCAGGAACATTGCATGGCTGGGTAACTTCATTTAGATGATGCAGTCTGATTTGATCCTATAGACAAAGACAGCTGGGGGGGAAAAAAAAGATCTCAAAGTTAGTCCAAAAACAAAGTAAGACATGAAGAGATTTTAAAAATATATAAAATTTCATTACATTTTAAACCTCTAACCAGGTCTGAAATAAAGAAACTGAACTATGAACTTTAAACTAATTTTTTAAAATGTGATTTATAATGCATCAGTATCAAAGCAAATAAAAACTTAAAAGTGTGAACAACTAATTTAAATTAGTTTCTTTCTAAAACTCTAGCAAAGACAAATGTGCTTTCAAAATATATATTGCATTCTGCACTATGCTTCACAATGCAAGCCTTAATCAGTCTTTTAATCAGTTTATTGCAATATGACACTTTATGATAAACTACTTCACGTTTTAATGCAGCCAAACTCCTACAACTAAACTGCTTTCTACAGGCTTTTACAGAAGCCTGAGGTATTGTGTTTTTCCCTTGGGGAAATCAGCAAAGGTTCATGCAAACCAGCATCTAGAATGCAGACCGGTTACAAAATCAGTTCTTTTCAGAAACTGGCACCGGTTCAGGCACCTGTAGAGAGATGCATTAATTGCAATCTCTCACAATACTATATGCATGCTTTTTATGATAGGTTTGAAAGGCAGCCGTCGACGACCGCGCGCGTTGAGTTCTGATTTACCGCAGTGCAACACAACTCCGTATTCATTTGGAAATAAAAAAAAATAGCAGATCCGATCTGACTGTCGACTAGGAAACGGTGATCAACTTCTCCCTTATTCCAGCAGGAACATTTCAAACATCCAATAGGCTCGAAAATATCGTGAAAAAAATACTTCGATATACTTGCCTCATATAAAGCTGTATGACAACATGACGAAAAATTAAACAAAAGAAACAAATCAGCATATGCCGCGATGGCTTTGCGTAGTCGTCCCGTAACGCCCGTCATAGGCGTTTTATCGCTTTAATTCATGTGTTCAGATGGCGAGGGGTTCTTAATTCCCTAAAAACCGATGAAAATTTTGTATTTCCTCAAGCAGCTCCATTCATGCTCGGGGTAAAACATTCGCAGACGGGCTCCGTGGAGAGACAACGGATGAATAAGGTATTGATGCGCATCCTCAGACATCTCTCTGTGACTAAACGCCGGACAGATATTTCGTTCGTTCGTCGTGAGAAGACTGAAAAGAGGTGTGCCAGTCGGTCACAGATTAAGTAAAACGTAGACAGCCCTACGAAACCCTATGCGAATATTCATCCCCTTCCCTCAAAACCACAGATGACAAAGGCTGAGGAGAAAAAAACAGCACAAGGGGAGGCAGATTTGGGTCACTATACGTGTCCTCCCTCCGAACATGTCTGTGCTCGATGCTAAAGCCTTTGAACATGGAGTTAGTTTGGATGAGGTGAACTGGTGGCATCTAGAAATTGTAGCTATTTTTCTCAGTCATCCGTCGCTATGAGAGCAGGATATCAAGTCAAGTCAAGTCTGCTTTATTGTCAATTCTTCCACATGTACAGCACATACACACAGAGAATTGAAATTGCGTTACTCTCAGACCCTTGGTGCATACAGATAACACTAACAGTAGAACATAAATACAGATATACAGATTAAGTATAAAATACAACTATACAAATATACAAATAAGGTAAAATGTAAAAAAAAATATAAAAAAATATATATAAAGCAGCACACGGCACATGGCAGATAGAGTGCAAACCAGTGAAGTAAACAACAGTGCAGATATAATGATTTGTAGTGCAAAAAGAGCTTATTTAGACTGGTTAAAGTGACTGTGTGTGTGTATTTGGGAGGGGGGAGTGGGAGAAGAGAAAAAGAGCTTATTTAGAC